ACCCGGAGGAGGCCCAACCTGTGAGATCTTATTGGTCATTGGGAGGTATGTGGCAAGAGGCGGTCTCTCAGCCAGGTCCTAAGCCATGTAGGGCTTTAAAAGTAATGACTAGCACCTTGAAGCGCGATCGGAGACCAATAGGGAGCCAGTGCAGCTCTCGGAGGATGGGTGTAACATGGGTGCATCTAGGTACACCCGATATCGCTCGCGCGGCTGCATTCTGGACCAACTGTAGTCTCCGAACACTCTTCAGCCCCATGTAGAGCGCATTACAGTAATAAAGACTTGAGGTGATGAGGGCAGCTTATGGTTCACTATCACTTATATAAGAGAAGTACCTATTGACAATATCTGTGTCAGTGCCTAGCTACCCAAAAGCTTCATTGACACAATTATTCACCTTTAAAGGTTAGGTTCTGGCAGCAGAGGAACAACTATACAGCAACTTTTTCCTATATTGCTAAGGCAGCGTGAGAAATCACAATGCATATGGAAGAAGCCACTTCTTCAACGTCTCTCATTATCAGCAATAATATACAGAGCAAAGAGAAAATATTCAGAATGAGAGAATATACAGCATCTGTGATCTATCTCTGTGATTTGGTGGTTTCTTTATCACCTGAGAAGAAGTGATACTGTGGCCATCACTTTGCCAGTAAGGCAACATAAAAACAAAAATAAAAGGTATCTGGGTTGGGAACACCTTTCATGATCATGACCAATATGTGCAAAATTCTCAGAAATTACAATAGCATATTGGTGGCACACCTTAAATAGTCACAATTTATCTCTGAGCTTTGTCTGACCCATCAAAAAAGGAAGCAAGAAAACAAAATTCAAAGTTTTGCATAATTATTTACTTTACAGCTATTGATCAAACAGAATTTACTAACCTGCTGATAGATACTATCTGCTCTTGAGAATAGGTTTTTGCTTCTCATATCTGGATAACCTCCAATGTGTCATTATTGATAATAGGGACACACTTATAGCAGTCCTGTTCTAAGCATTAAAAAAAGGTAAAGGTTTCCCCTATCCAATCACGTCTGACTCTAGGGGATGGTGCTCATTTCTGTTTCCTAGCTGAGGGAGCCAGCATTATCTGAAGATGCTTCTGTGGTCATTGGCTGACATGACTTTCTTCATCATCATTCCACTTTGCTACAATTTTACCCCCATCTGTGATATGTTCTATTCAGTGGTGGGATCAAAAAAATTTTTTGCTACCGGTTCTGTGGGTGTGGCTTGGTGGGCATGGCTTGGTGGGTGCGACAGGTGAAGTATACTGTAAAATCTCCATTCCCACCCCACTCCAGGGGAAGGATATTGCAAAATCTACATTCCCTCCCGATCGGATTTGAGAGGCAGAGAATAGATGGAGGCAGGACCAGTCAGAGGTGGTATTTACCGGTTTTCCGAACTACTCAAAGTTTTGACTACCAGTTCTCCAGAACTGGTCAGAACCTGCTGAATACCTACCGAGCTACCTAGCTACCTAGCTACCCCCCTCTCTCCCTTCCCCTCCCTCCCCCCTTCTGAAACAAAGCATTCATTACTATCATTCCTTCATCACTTACAGGGTGCTCTGAGTGGTTGGTTTATCAGCACAGTGCTGGGGATGGGATTGACCATTTGCCTTGTTCAGCTCACTTTTTTCTACTTTATTACTAAGAATAAATTTGGCAAAGGAAGAACAACGAAGGGGCAGCATACCAGCTAATTGCCATTTAATCTCCCATTTGCCCCCATTGGACAGCTTCAGAGAGTTTTGGCCAATGGAAGGGCAGAAAGAGATGAGGAATGCTCGACAGTGGCATAGAACATAGAATTATTTTGTCATGCAGTTGTGTGTTCAGCTGCATTGTATAGTTGAAACTACTGAGAAGCTAGAGGTTCTTTTTGTTTTGTTGTTTAAGCAATATTATCCCATTGGGAGGAATGTTTGCTTTATCCTTTGGTTCACCGACAAAAGGGCGAACGACAAAACCGCACCTGACTAAACCGTGGTGATAAAACTGTGCACTCTAAAGCGCTCCAGCGACAGAAGCGCGCTGTAAAACTTAACCTAACCCTAAACCTAGACCTAACCCTAAACGTAACGCTAACCCTAACCCTAAACATAACTCTAACCCTAACCCTAAATGTAACGCTAAACCTAACCCTAATCCTAACCCTAACCCTAAACCTAACCCTTACCTTAAGTTAAATCGGCTTTCTGTCTCCACGCTGTTGTTGCCGCGCTGTTGTCGGCGCGTTGATGACATCGCGGTTTTAGCGATGCAGTTTTGTCAGCGCGTTTTTGTCGGGCGTTCTTTTGACGGGTCACGTATCCTTCTTTCTGGCTCCTGAGATTTAGGTCCTTTAAGAGCTAACCCTATGTGGGTTCCCCCAGCAATCCAGATGAAATGAAAACAGCTGAAACTGACATGAATTTTGTTTCATTTCTTACTTTTCTTCAGTAACAAATATATAGAATCAGGCTACTGAATATTTTTCTTCTTCTTTACCCTTTTCTTTTGTGTTTGAGGAGAGTGAGGGATTTTGTTCCTGAAGAATCTGCAGAAACTTGATCCACAATGGTATTCTTTATTCCTTGTTCTTGGCATTTCCGGTTCTTAGAGATGACGCTATGGGGACTGAAATTGATCATGTTAATAAAACCTTTGTATAGGCACAGGTGCTTGCATCCAAATAGCAATGTTGTTCATTTGGAGCTTTTTTGATGTTCCTCCAAGTGGTTCTGTTTTTTTCCCCCTTATCAAAGAAAATCTGCTAGGGAGAATAGAACAAAATAACTGCCTATCCGTAGCTCCCTGAGTCCTCCAACTAAATGCATTGATTAACAGATGATAAAATAATGGAGTAGTAAAATACACAAAATCATTATGACTAAGAGATATAATGTTAGTGATAAAGGTGTTTTCATTCCTTGTGGCAAGTCACTATATTTTCTGTACAGTGGACTGGGGGAGCAACATATTCATATTCCATTTTTTAATTGTTGTTCATTGGGAGGCAGCCATGACTGCTAGTTTTCCATAGGACACCTACATCTTATCTTATCTGGTTACTTCATCAACAAGAGAAAGAATTTTCAACTCATGCTGTGGGAATGTGACATATACAGTGGTGGTGGACTGGTTTGAATGCTGATTGTCTCTTGGAGCATCTCACAAAAGGTTTCATATGACCTGGCTGGATCATATTTTTATTTGGACAGAGTGTTCCTAATTTTAGTGACCTTAAGCAAAGTGTTTCAGCTTTCTAAATT